TCTAAAATTGGGATTAGGTTATTAGATTAGGTAGGATCCATTATGGAACACTCTAGAAAGAATTTAGGGCAGTTATTTAGGTAGGGCCTACCATAGAATCTTTTAGAAGGAGTTTAAGGTGGTTATGTAAGTGGGATCCACTACCTAAGAATATTCTAGAAAGTCCAAGGTGGTAGAACAAAGTATAAATAAGACTTAGTAGGGTCTTTTGGTCAAATATGGCTTCAAACCTTCTTTGTTAGTAAAGTTTGGTTTTGCATCTTTCTATTTAGTTCTGTTTTGTTTTATTTGTGTTTTGTTCAATTTTGTCTTCCATGTCTTATTCTATTTAGTTTTGTTTAGTTTTGTTCTAGTCTAGTTTGTCTTATCTTGTGATGAGGTTTTATGTTGCAATGGGTTAAAAAGGACTTAGATACTTGATATAGACTTTTTCTGTTTCAATGCTTTTATAAACTACCATCAAAATCTTAGATCTAATTACAAGTGGAAAAATAAATAAATGCATATAAATTGTTAAGTATTAAAATGACATTGTCAAAAACAAACAAGCTATAAAATAAAATAATAACAATAATAATAATATGGAAATAAAAATAAAGATAAAAAAATTAATCATATAATCAAATTCTTTGAAATACATCAATCTAAAGCTAACAAAGACTAGCAATGTCCATAGCCTTTATTACAACACCAAACCACCAAATTTAACATGCAAAAATTGCAATCCTCATACAAAACTTCAAAAATAAAACAACCAAAACTTGCACACTATATCCCAAAGAAAATTTTGATAAGAATTCTACTACAATAAGTACCTTATTCTACTACAACACAAATACATCAAAACTCTATATTATATTGCAAATTCAATTCTAAACAATAAATAAGAAACTTGTGTACATGTGTATGCAAGGTAGGACAAAAACTCCACACTCACAGATGGTAAATTTGAAGGGAAGCTAAAAGTGAAAAAAATAAGGTAAATCTCTCCAAACCTAATTGAGGATTTCGCCATCTCCTCTTGTCCACCCCTAGGCTTAAACCCTATAACCCTAAACATAAATCCTAAAATCCTAAACCTAGATCGTCATGCCCCTAACAAAATGGGGGGGTTTTTGGGTCAAACCAGGCAACCCAAATCTGTCTCTGCAAATGACTGAACCCATTTTCCCTTGTTAGTGAATGCTTTCAACACAATTCGGAACCGTCCATAATTTTGGCCTAATTTGTCGCTGGCGCTCAAAGCTTGAGCGTTCGTAAGTTGAAGGACAAGCATTCGTCTCAAAAAGCCTTTCGACACGCCATATCGTATCTCTCTTCATTACCGACAATTGCGACGTTGTGAAAGTTTAGTTCCTGGTGATGCGCGGCATGGAAACCATTCCGAATTCCGAAAGTAGTGCGTGCTCTGTTCCGAGCCCACTTTTTTCTGGAAGTGGGTCCATTTTTGTTTCGGAAGGATAGATGGATGGATTCGTAACTTAGGTCTTGGGGGGTCATGAGACCTATGTGGTGGATGACTCTGCGCCGACGTTGTTCATGGGCTGGGAAAGGAGTTGACGTTGGGTTGAGGAAGTGTGGAGTTGGTTCAGTGGAGGTCAGCTTGGCTTTTTCCCTTTCGTAGCGTCATCCATGGATACGATTTTCCTAAGTATTACTCGCGACTACTTGCTTCAATCACCACTTTGTAATATGCGCTTGGAATTGCGCGGAGCGATCAATCAATGAGTGGAACATGGTCGTGTCGACGCACTGCAGGTGGTGAACATGCTGCAGCTGATCTTCACAGAGTATTCTTGAATGGTGGCAATGAATGAATGTGCCCAACACCTGGTTGGTTTTTAGTTTCCTGTGAAGCTTACTCAGCTTCAAAAATGCGCACTGGAGTTTTCTTTCAGCGTTACTCGAACAGCATGGACGTCGTGTGTTGCCAACCCTTGAATCCGCTGTAGTTTCTAGTCTTCCTGGCTGAATCTCATCATTAGGTTGATCTCAGCTATGGTACTCCTCCCTCGAGTTTACGCTTGAGAACAGTCTTCGTCCCTGCACTTGTGCCGAATTTGCAAGGTGATGAATCCAGCTTAGGCGGCAGGGATTCAATTTCTAGTAATCGAGATGATCTAGTAGGTCTGAGCCCTCTTCTAGTGATAACGGTGCGGGTTCCGGAAATTCAAGGTCAGATTCTTTACTCATTCTCAAGAAAACAGCGGAATGAATCAGTAGTGAAAGCTACTGGAAGTCTATCTCAATTTGCATTGAGAGGGAGCTAGGTTAAAATTTTAAAATAAAATAAAAAGATAAAAAGGCTGGGTGCATCCGCAAAACAAAAAAAACTATACACTTCCTGTGTCTCCCAGCGATCCGGCTAAGATTGATATTCTAAATCGCTGGACAATCTTATCAATTCCTGATTGCACAAGTTCTAAATTAATTTTCTTCAATTACGTCTAGCAACAGAGTGTTGTGGTATAATCCTCTGTCGAACATTTCCAAAGCGGTGAAAAGCCCTCCAGTGTCTCCATCGTGGAAAAACCTTTGCTGGAAGTAAAACCTTTGACGGGAAATGTGAGCATGGTTGATCAAGATGCTTTGGTCAAAGGGATGTTTAGAAACCTCAAGTTGCAACGTGCGGAATGTTTCCTGGACCTGCTGGCATATCCGAAGCAGTAAGATTTTGTTTTGACCCTCCTGTTTCTGATTGGTGAAAGGCTGTAGGTATCTGATTGAAAATTTCTATTGTTTAATAGCTTCAAAGTCTACTTTCAATACAAATAAGGCGGCTGGTAGAAGTATGGAGGTGATCAAAATGTCAAGCCTGCTCACCAGGTGGAGGCCAAAGAGAGGAAAAGAGCAAGAGAGACTAAGTCTATGAAGTTTTTTGATAATTACGAGGACAAGGCGGTTTTGGATTAAGCCCCTACAGTTGAACCAATGTGAAAGGACAAGCATTGTTTTCCAATTTTTTGGGTCCACTATGAGTTCTTTCATTTCATTAATTCTGCCATAGCGAAAGTGCTGATAGCTTCTGAGGGTGTTCCAGTGGTTTACTAAATTCCCGTGGTGTGCTCGGTAGTCTATTTTCTATGTACAGCTTCGGTCTGCAGAACATGGAGCAGGGACAGATTTCGATTGACAGACGTTTAAGAAAGACTCAAGCGGCAATATTGAGACATGAGAGACGAGATTTCTTTCCTGTAAATTTCAATCCTTGATAAAGTTTGGGGGATTTCTACCTGTAACAGTTCCTTTTCAGCAACAATTAGATTCAGGTTTCGCAAATCATATTTGGATGGTGAAAAGACCAATAAATTTAATTTTTTGCTTTAGGGAAAGATGTTATTTCTCGTTATCTGTAGGCGAGACATGCATGTAACATGAAAGAAAAGCAAAAACGCACAAAAAATACAGATACCTAAAGTTCATGTTTTCATACTTCAAAGGAACGTAAAATTGACGAAACAAAATTTGTGTTTGCAGGAAGATTTGCGCGGAGATGTACAGAGTCTGTCTGCTTGGATTTTCCAAACTGGAGAGACATTCGACATAGACGTTGACTCAAAACGTTCTATTCTCTTCCTGTAATGATCATCGTAGTTCTGGAATTGATGCTCACTTAGAGCACTTGCAACTTAACAGGCTTAACTAAGAGAGGTTGAACGTAGGCAAACCGGATGAATTGAAAGTCAAGCTTGTATAACTGTTATCTCACCCCGACTGGACAGTAAGCAAGAAGGATCGCCAGTCATTTTTGGCTTCGAGGTGAATCCCGCAGTCTTTTACTCGCGCTTTTCGGAGTCAACGGTTGATTTTATGCTTTATTTTGTATTCGAAATTAAGCTCCAGTATTCTGTTTGAATGCTATGGCTTGTGGAGGGTTGCTGCAAAACCGAAAGTAACTTCAGTTTACAAATGGAACATCTCCATCAACCTCAACAACGTCAACGCTATTGCTGAGGTACATAACCGTGTGCAAAGTCACTGAAGAATCTCCAAGTCATAAGGAGCCGCATATGCCAACTCTACCGTCAGCTTTCAACCGCATGTTTCTAGAAATCCTCGCCTTTGTATTAGTTACGTTACAAAACAGTTGATGGTTTCACGTGCTTGGTAAAGATAACGTGTTGGAGAAAAGTTATACAAAATTAGTGCTGATGTACATCACTTCGATGGATGTAAAACTAGTTGGCATTGCAATTACACGTAACATATTTCCATATGAGTACTCGCGTGATGAGATTCTGGCTCTGCTCTGCCTGCTCTGCTCTTTCAAAAGTTGCGCTGTGCTGCTCCTGGTAATATTTTGGTATCTGGTGTAGAATATGCATGGTCCGAAATTTGGTGTTAGAGACGGTAAGGTTCATTGTTAGAATAAGTTAGGAGATATTGATGATGATTTTTCGCTGAATTGGAATAGACAGAAAATGAGTGTGTCCATCACTGCTGAGGTATTGTTGAATGTTTTCATTGAGGTTGGTAACTTCTGTCTCTCATGGGAAATGAACTTTGTTACATTTTGGGTTCGTAATGATTAACTCACAAATTCTTATGACTATACTGTAATATCTTTTTGCTTGCTTCTATGTTTATTAAAGTTGGACTGAACATCTTGCCACAGAGGCGCCTGTAGATGGATCAATCATTACACAAACAGTAATTGGAATGCTACACAGTACTCCTCTTGAAACTTTCCATTGGTAAAGATAAAGAGAATCACATGTCATTTTCATTCTAATGCTGATCTCACATTGCACGAGGAAAAGTAACAAATACACTCCCCTTCACAGATATCTAAAGTTATAGTCTTTTATATGCGAAGTTTATAACCAAAGTTTCGTTTTTCCTTGTCAATGTTTTGCATGGAATGGTATTTTTTATAGGATTTTATTAATTATTGCACGTGAAATGATTGACAAGTTCTTTTAGGTGTGGATTAAAGTGCAATTTGATATGGTGCCAACAGTACATGTTTTTGTCCTTAATACACAGTAATTCTGAAAGAATTTGAAGGAAATCAAATGCTGGGTTCAGATAGCATCGTATCAACCTCTATTGTTCCGGTAAGGTACAATAGCTTTTAGCGTACAATATAGATTTGACTCTAAGTGTCTGTTGTAATAAAATAATTCTAGCACTTAGTGTAAAGTGTTTCCTCACGTTCTAGGTGAATGTACAATACCTTAGCATTGTCAGTGTATTCGTCATGGTGTTGACACTACGTTTGATCCCTGTTCAAATAGATTTACTTTTCATAAGTTGTAACAATGCATGATATATACTCTGCTGTTAGCTTTCCACGTGCAGTAAATATAACTATGAGGTCAAAGTGAGGGTTGATTTCCAGTTGGCACACGTAGGCCACGCTGCAGCAAATGCGAGCACGGTTGGCCACGACGCATTACCACTCTATCAGAAAGACTTCGAGCATTACAATAATGCGGTTGAATGCCAAATCTGCAAGAGGTTTCGTTAGAAATAGAGTATTCGCGCAGTTTCAGCATACAGGCATTGGGAAACAGCTCAGTAAGACTCATCGTTGGTAGAGAATTATTTCGTCTTGGGGAGCTTTCACTACTGTCACATGCATGTTACTCTTGAAGATTAACTTGAACCCAAGCGAGACAATATGAAGTGTCATTCCCAGCCAAAAATACGATTCTGAATTCTACATAGTACTTGGGCCACATCGTGTAGACCGTTCTACAATTCGAGACTACCGCCAGAGTTCCGACACCTGTTCTTTCCCTTTCGAGGTAAATTATTCCTTCCACTTCGTAGGCTTATCTTGCAATTGGTCACTCTTACAACGAGCATTTTATTTCACTAATCTACTCAAGGATTCAATTTTAAAAACCCTTGCATAAAAATGAAAAATAAAATATACTATTAGCTTGTGCGCAACTGTGATGATATTCCACGTGACAAAACATAGCGTGCACACACTACACATTCGGGCATTTCCATGATCGGGAGTAATCTTCATCTATCAAGTACGAGTGAATTTCTAAACGGCAGGCCAGAAAACGTTACATCAAGAACTGCGCCTTACTGCACGGAAACAAAAACAAGTAAATGATCAACTCTTCGCGTAGATACCATGTCAACAGTGCGCTCTAGCCAAACCATTTGCAACCTGATTCCTGTGTACCTATTACAACAAAGCCTTAATTCACAGCTCAGTGCTTCGAGAGAATATACAAGCGGCATGTAACGCGCCATTTTCTAAATACTACAAAATCCCTGCAAACTCAGATTTGACAGAAGTCGTAAGTAAAATATTCGCAAAAAATCTTCAGTTACCAAAATTAGTGACACCGTACTCACAGTTCTGCAGATATCTCCGGAGTTGCTTCCGAACTGACCAGACACAAACCCGCTTGCTACGCCGCTGGACATGAAAAGGAGCACTGAAATCATATTCCGTGTACGCTTTACACACTCGGGCTGCCGAAAAGAATATTCTAAGATGCTGTAGTAAGCACAGCACCTGGATGGTCGTCAGCCGAGGCGAGTCCTTGTATAAGCCCGTTGCCCACTCACTTCTTGGAGAAGTGCATCTCCGTATCGGTAGAATTTCAAAATCGGTTCCCATCTGGTCAAGCTCAGGGATCTCTAAACAATGTGGGGATCCACACGGTGCAGTACAAGTGGAAAGATATTCGAACCCTTCCGCCTAACTGTTCAAAATGGTGAACCGATTCGCTCAAAGCGATGATTAATTTTTTTATGACTTCCTCTAAATATCTATCTCCCTGCGTCCCCAATACGACTTGATCCATAAACCTTTGCATGAGCCTGTGCGACCTGGGATTCAGATTTTGAAAAACGACGGATGTGAAGATGCAGTACTCCAAGATGAGGGTGGGCGACATGGCGAAAATGCGACGTCTTCTTCAATATTCAGATGGTTGAAAAACTGGACCACAAGAGTGCGACTCTGTTTCCATTTCCAAAATCGAGTTCCTTGAATGCAAACCCCAACTGGTTGATCGAACCACATAACCCATTTTCTCAACTGGATACGATCGCTCACGACAAACGAACTGCAACTTTCTCAACATTCTCTACATCGATTGCAAGACATCCAAATCTCAACACACAATTTCCACATGAGAGAATTCAACATTACTTTCGTTCCAATTTCAGAGACGGGGAGGCAGCTCCACAGTTGAACGATAAGTATCAAACAAACTGTTGCCCCATCAATGCAATTCGCCACCCAGAGTTGGTGACAAAACGCAATTTATGGACATTTGGAACTTGTCTCTACGCTCCACAACAAAATCGGATTCCCGTTTTTCAATTGCATCCCTTTCAACTTCTAGTAACAACTACCCAAAAAAAAACCCCAACTAACTAACTACCTAACACACAAACATAACAACAAAAACACAGAAACACGACGAAAACAAATATTAAAAAAATGAAACAACTCACATTGTATCTCGAACCGGACCCTGAAGGGAAGAGTACAATCTAAAGAAGAAAAAAAACAAGACAGCATTGTAAAATAAGAGGGAGCTAAGAATTTATAATCATGACACTACACACACACACTCCCCAGAGCACCTTATTCTCAGGCTACCTTTGGTGGGTGACCATCACGGACGACCTGCTAGCACCAGCCCAAGGCAGGTGATCGGTCATGCGATGCGCGCCGAAAGGAACTGAAACCCGGAGCTCAGCAACTCGGGTTTTGGGTGTTGACACCCAGTGGGAAAAAGGAGGGGGGATTCGCAAATGTGTTGGCAACTGGACAGGGCGGAGGTAGCCTTATAGGGTGGGGGAGTGCGGCGTCACCTGGCGCTGTCTTACTAAGTAGGACGTGCGAAGCCCCCATAAATAAGTGTTCTAGCCACGCTGGGCGAGAGGGACGTCGCAACACACGCTCTCCACGTCCATAGGCCCCGCGCACTACCAGGTTCGTAAAGTCCACAAATATCATGTCCACGTTACAAAATTGTTGTTGTTATTATTAGCAGCGCGAGAGTAAGTGAGTCCCTTCAAGCTCATGGCTAGTTGCGTGGGCTCCGTTTTGGGGGGGGGGGGGGGGGGGGGGGGTCCCCTTTACGATCCCTATAAAGGGTTTTTTCCTCCACGTCCTCTTTCGTACCCCGATTCTCTGCAGCTTTTGCTTCTGCCGCCTTCAGCGCATTTTTTATAGCCTCTGCTTCGGCTGCCGATGCCTCTACCAGGGACTCTACTCCTTTTCTGTGGGTCCTGAAAAAAACATCCAGCCTTTCAAAACTTTGACAAAAAAATGAGAGTTTATAGACCCCAAGATTCTACATAATCACCCTGAAAAATCCCTGCTAGAGCGAAACCCACAAAAAAAATACCCGTCAGATCACCAGATTACAACCTCCCACCACTAAATTTGGGCGCAAAGCGAAGCCCCCCTCCCACGGCTTAACGCTAAAAAAAATCTCCAAAG